TAGCTGTTAGCACAGAAGGTTATCTAAATATTCCTAGAAGTGGCTAGGTAAGTAGTTAGAGGTCTATAAAGTTAGTAAGGCTGTAAGAAAGGAGGGGTCTGAGCTAAATTGTGTAAAGCTATTACTTAATGTCTACCTGACCTAGGCGGTGTCCCCTTGTGGAATTTATCTTAAGGCAGGAGACTTGCATGTGGGCTGTTATCACTGTTAATCCTCGGAAATTGGGTGACCACCTGGGTGATGTCTCCTTTAGTCCTTGAAAGTGGCTAGGGGAGATATCTGATTCCAGAGAAAGCCTTTCCTGAGGCTGTTCTCCAAATGCCTGGAATGTGTATGTCTAGAGAGTGATCAGTCCACATTGTTAGCCCTTCTTAGGGAAAAATCAATTGGGAAATCTATGAAGGAACACATGATTTTCATAACAGAATACAGCTGATATATAACAAGCCAAGTAACACCAAAAACTCCTTGAGATTTGGCTTCCTCTGGAGGAATTCCCTGATTCCTCCAGGTAGTGACTTTGCCATAACCAGCTGAGTTCGTATGATATTCCTGCGGCCCGCAGCAACAAATACCTAGTAGAAGAGTCTCAGGTAACATTCGCATATGGTTGTTGCTCTTTCAGGTAAACAAGAATTATTAGAATACTTTCACTTTTCTGGTAAAGAGAGGATTAATTTAACATATTCTTTATTTCAGGGAAGGGTGGGTTACATGTGTGCCAAGGTCAGAGGACCAGTTTTTAAAGGTTGATCCTCTCCCTCTCTATGTGGGCCCCAGGGAGCATCAAGCTTCAATGATCTTTACCCCCTGAGCTGTCTCACAGGTCCTGAAGACCACATGACAGCTTTCTGCAAAAGCCTAAAACCAAAGACAGCCAAAACCATTAAATCAGACTCTGAAAGATAGATGCATTATTTAAATATTAGCACAGAAGCACTCGTGAATGTGAGCCATTGAAGTTTAAGTTGTTTATCTCTTAGACAGATTTAATTTAATATCATGCAAGGCAAACAGACCTTCACTTACTCTAGTCAAAGAAGATTGAGTCAGTAGCAGCTACTTCCTATTAAAAGAGAAAAGACAAATGGAGCAATAATCATCTGTGTGTGTCCACAGAGCAGAAATGACTTGAAATGTTTGTGAAACGGTGTTCTTATTTCTTGTGGTTAATAGCTTAAAAGTGTGCAGGTGTCTTGGGTCTTGCTATGATAAACTCACGTTCAGAGTAGGTAAAGCAGTCAGACACAGCAGTCAAGGTCAGGTAATTCTGCTTTGTTTTGTAGGATCTGTTTCAGTAGCTATGCTGTGGTTGATAAATGTTCTCTTTTTACTAAAATTTTTCCCCAAAACTAATCCTAGTCACATGTGCAATTTCAGATCTAAATAAGGACTTCACAGAAATCTTGGGAACAAACTGAGTGTCTCCGTGTTGTGCAGGGGACAGACATTATTCATCTGTTAGTGTGTTTATTTTGGAGCAGGGCATGCATGGCAAAGCACACATGTGAGGCCAGAGGACAACTTACGGGAGCTGGTTCTCTTCTTCCACCAGGTGGGTCTCAGAGACCAAGCTCAAATCACGACCTTTGGCAGCGAGTGCCTTTGCTTTCCGAGCCGTCCCACCTGCCCAGCATTACAATCTTAACAGTGATTTTCATGCTGCTTTTTCCCTGAACAATTTCCATACATAAGGCATCGTACAACTTCTGATAATGTTTTTCCTGGAAAGTTGACATAAAATTTACAAAGAGTGTGAAAGAATGCCTGCTTCCTCTTCCCTTCTGTGCTTCAAGCACAAGTCTCAGCACTTCCATGCTTTACAAGCACCTGTGAGTTTAAGAAAGGCGTCTTGTCTTTCAAATAAATCTCTTATCTTGGGCCCTGTTCAAGGTTCAGTTCTACTGCTAGGGTTGATGCCACAGTGTCATAGCCTCTGAAGTGGGAGTCAATTAAAGGCTTGACCACACCCTCCTGGGAGATAAGTTGGCAGCACCAACTTCATGGGTAGCCAATAAGGCAGTAATCCCCAAACACCATGTCTCTAAGCAATAGCAATTAAAGTAGGGTGGCATTTGGTAGACCTTCCCAGTTTACCTAATCAAATATTCTGTCTCTTATAGTGATCAACCCAAAAGTGTCCCTGAGGAATGGATCAAACTTTTGTTTTCTTTTTCTACGAAAACACCCAAGTACTCAGTAGGCCTGACCCTGGCTAGCTTCTGAGATCATACTAAATTGGGTTTATACAAGGGAGTATGATGGTAGACTAGAAAACGTTTTCATATCCAAGCCCATGTGTCCTATTGATGATCATTAAATAACCTTTGCTCCATGGCTGGCTACCATAAAATACCATAAAATTATCTAGTTAGGACTTTTGAAAAGTGGACACAATGACTGTCTTACTTGATTCCACTCAGGTAGGTAGTATATCTTGTTCACTGTTTCAACCTATAAATCCACTTTAAAGACAGGCACGTTGGCTCATGCCTATAATTCCAGCACTTGGAGGGCAGAGGTAATTGGATTGCCTTGGTTCAAGGCCAACCAGGGCTGTGCTGTGAGTCCCAGGCCAACCTGACTACGGAGCAAGACTCAAACAAAAGCCCACTTTTGTCTTCTAAAAATGATTCTAGTTTATAAAATGTGGTTTCTTCAGCCAATAGGCTTCCAGTGAATTCTTCAGCTTGACTAATGCCTTCTTTCCATATGAAATAAAACATGAGCAATCTCTTTTCTACAGGTACAGGTCAATTCCATGCACCCTTGTTTAAACCCAGCTAAGTGAGCATGTTGACCAGGAGAACTCCTTTATCTTAGAAGTGGTAGATATGCTCAGCCTTGGGATTCCTCTAAAGACTTTTAGGGCAGAAGAGGTTGAAGATACCTAAACACATGGCTGATAAGGTTGTCTGGTTGCCAATTTAAAATATTCCTGGGGCAGTTTGACTGAAAATGCTTTTCTTTTATAATCTGGCAATATTCCCACTGCATTGCAAAAAATCCTTAGTAATCACCCTCTTGTGCATCTTGGGAAAATCATGCACACTCGGTATCTTGTCAGCAAGTCCTTTACAACTGAGCCATATTGTCTAGGCTATTTACACTCTAAAGGGAGCCCAACAATGAGGCAGCTAGTTTTCTAAACTTAAACCTAAATGCTGTTTAACACATTTTGTCTTTCAACAACCAGACAAATCTCCAATATTATTTCATTAAACTTCAGCATTTATGTTTTTTTTTGAAAAGTATTTTGTTAAAAAGAAAAAGCGCTTATGCTCTTGTTTATATGAAACTGGGGTGTCTATGTATTGAACTGATTCTTCAGTAGCAGTGGAATTACTGAGATGTGTAAGCAGAGAAGATAGTGACACTAATTGACATTCAAATCTTCTCTCTACTCCGACTGGAATTGTTCCTTGTGTTTATTGAAATGATAACATCTTGCAACAGGTTATGAGATTAAATAAGAAAATGCATTAAAAAAATCTCTAGTAAAATATCTAACTCATACAGAGCTGCGATAAGCATTTATTTACTGGCATGACCAAACATGAAGATGGAAAAAAATATTTGCAAGAGATTATGCTCACTCCACCCAGGTGACAAGGCCAAGCTCTTAGAGAGCATGTCCAGTTTCATTAGCCAGAGATTTGCCTGTTTTGCTCTTGTGGAAAGATTTCCCACCACAGAATAAGATATGGGTGAGTATAAACCCCACTCCTTCATCCTGAGGAAATGTCCTTAGGTTTACTTCCCCTCTGGGAAACGTATTAAAATTCCATATTTCTCTCTGAAACCTTACTCCTGGTGAGTTAGTGAACTTGTCATCTGTATATAAAGAAGATTTGCTTTCAAGGAGAATGAAAAATGGTTTTCTTCTATAATCAGGGACTCACCTCTCTTTCCTCCCTGGCAACATACGCCATCGTGCCTGGCTCCCTAGCAACCATGTCTCTCTATCAGACAGCTTTATTTGAAGCAATCTTCACTGAAAAAAGGGTAGCACAAAAAAGCGTGGATATAAAAATAAAAGAAAAATGTCTAGGCTTACTTTTAAATAATCCATGCTTCCTTGGGATGCTACGCACATTTTTCCTTGTATAATTTTATTGAAAAAAATTAATTTAAAAGACCATGGATTTATCACAGGGATGAAGAAATAGGCATCTCTTCAGGAAAGTGGTATGCTATGTTGAAAGAATATAATTGGTAAATTATGATGGAACAATAATAGAAGGAGCAATTCTCTTCAAATAGAAAGTTCTCAAAAGCAGCATGCCAAACACTTCACTAGAGCATTGTGTCATATGTGACTAAATGCAATTTTGACACAACAATCTGTACTTTGAGTGTATCCGTCCTGCAGCCTAAGGGCTCACTCATTTCTATATTGAGTTGGTTTGCCGCGTCAAAGGTCTGGCAGAACACGGGGAGGTTTAAGCAAACAGCTCACTTTATTTGAAACAGATTTACTGCTGTCATCAGGAACGCTGTGTCCTACAGAGCCGCGTTTTATGGCCCATGCACCTGATGGTTCATCCTTCTGAAGTTGCTCGCCATTGCCTAAACCTGCCGACAGGCTCTCATCGGCCCCTACGGCGACTAACCTAACCAAGTGACCCAACAAGGTCATCTATGTCCAAATGAGGGAACAATAAAAATAAACCCGCAGATTACAAAGATGATTGATATTCTAAAACAGGAAATATTTTCTATGGAAGATAGTCACAATTTTTTTCATTTTAAAGTGATTTATTTTAAGGGAAATTATATCTAACTATGAGAAATTTACTTGATAAATGAATAGTTTTTTTGTATTTCTAAAGATGTATACTTTTTAAAGTATATCTTTGATGTCACTTATCTGTAAGCAAAGATTTATTCACTAATTAACAAGAATTAAACTATTAACCATATACTATTAAGTTAAAAATTTGTACACTGCACCTTTAAATTCATACATAAGTATATGGTCTCTTAGGGAAAATACTTTAAAATAAATGCTTCAGTTTTAAATTTTTATTTAAATGTATTTTAAAGAAATACCTAAAATTGTACAGGTTCATGGAATATATTATTGGCTTTTTATTTGAATTTACTTTTATCTAACATATAAAATATTATACACATTTCAGCCCATAAAATTGGAATGAATACATACGAGGTAAAAAGTATAGAATTTTATGAGGTAAAATATATGTAATACTTATGCATGTGTTAGAAATAAATTTATATTTTAAAATGAAAATACAAATGAAAGCTTTGATAATAATGTATTCACAGATATATAGAATCTTAAGCTTCTATTTTCAATATATAGTGTTATTTTGAAAAGTCTCTAAGACAAAAGTGAACAGGCATTATTCCATTTATGTGTATTATATATGTATACATACATATACATATATATGTATATATGTGTGTGTGTGTATATATCATCCAATCCCATAGGCAGCAAAACCAAGATAACTGTTCCACCTCATGTTGTAAGTTAGAGCAAAGTGTGCTATCGCTGCCTGTTGGGGGAAGTCTGTGCATTTTAAGATCAGCAAACAGCTCTCTGTCTTCCTGTCCCTGCTAGTCTCTCCTTGGCCAATGCTCTCCTTGCTCTTTCAACAGAGGCCCATTACACTTGGACCCATTCACAGGGAAACAAGAAAGAGCATGCTAATTTAAAAACTGGCTTTGCTGGGCTACATGCAAGAAATCTGAGAGAGGCAGAAGTGCTAGCTTCCTATCACAGGATGCAAAGCCTGGGGTAACTTGTCAACAGAAAGCTTGTTTTGGTCTCAGTGAGGGTGAGTGTTCATTCCTGATTGATTGGTCTTGATGACTCTTGGAAGCAGCATCTGGCAGCTGCCTCTTGGGGAAGAAAGCCCCTTACCTTTGAAGTGAAAATAAAGAGCAAGTGAGGAAGTCTTATACCCCTTCCAGGGCATGTTCCTAAAGATTTGAAGACCCCCTACCCCAATTAAGGCTCTCAACACCTCCCAACATTGTCAAACTAAAGCATTACCATATGGGTCTTGGAACACTTTAGATCCAAATTATAGTAATAAATATCATATATACGCCACTACTAAAGTATATATAGACCTAATTTAAGTAATAGTTACTCAACACTCCCTAATCTCCAACCACTGTTGTAAGGATTGTGTCTCTCATAGGACTGTGACTCTAGGAAGACATTGAACCATGCACATGATTGTCATGGTTCAAACTGGCAATGTACCCTTCTTCCCAACAGATTCCTGATTTTTACTTAAATGTTTGGTCTTCAAATGGTGACATTGTTTTAAAAGGTTCTAGAAACTTTGTTGGGAGAGACAAACCAAGAAAAGTGGGTTTGGGGGTGGAGTGGGGTTGATGTCATGGCCTCCCTGATTCCTGCCTACTAGGTATTAAATTATGTTTGCTTCACTGTTTAGGTTTAAAGTTTCCCGTATTTCCTCAGGTCATTTATCATCCACTGCTACCTCTACAAGACCCATTATGGATGAAAGAAGTTCTTTGATGAGGATGTGTCTGTGGAGGCAGCACACATTCAGTTCTGAAGCAAGGTTGGGGTTAATTCCAGGTAAGCTGCTCTCTCTCTTCCTCATTACCGTGGGGCTTGTCCAAAGGCTCTTCTCCTGAGTTGATGAGTTAGGTTCCTCTTGCTTTTCAGCAAGGCTAGTTTTATCATTTATTATGTGAGTAACCAAACATGTTGGTCATTTTGTATGTTTTTCTTTCTATCATACCTCTGGATATGGCAGGCTCTGTCCTATCCAGAATGTTCTTCCCTTCTTTTCATTCTCTGTTGATCCTTTTACTCTCTACTGATCAGTCTGAACATTCTCTTCCCATATTTATATTTGGGTAACTCTTCCAAATTTACCTAAATTGATTAGCAGTGATAAATGTTCTACTACTGGTATTTGAAACATGAGAGCTCTTGGATAAAAATCGCATCTGTGTAGGAACTATTTCTCCATAATGAAGGTTAACTCTCAGTGGACAAGCAAAAACAGAAAGTGAGCAAACGCCACAGAAGCCAACTGCTTCAGTTAAAAACAGCCCGAGCACCCAGTTATAAGTCAAGCCTCCTCTGCTATCTTGAAATTCTGCAGCCATTATCAAAAAGGCAGAAACAGACTAAAAAAGTCGAAATCTGTACCACAGACTTTAAGGAAAGGAATTTAGCGGAAGATGCGCCAATGGGAAATAAACAACAAACTATTAAACATCTCTAATTCTGAAACTTTGGCTTCAATATATGAAAAAGAAGCAAATGTATGCAAAGACTATTTTATAAAAAGGATCAAAGTAACAGTAAATATTTGTGAAGATTATTTTAAGAATGTTTTTTCATTTCTAAATATAAAAAATGTTTTAATATGGATGAACTTATATTCCAAGTATAATATTAATATAAAATTAAATTGAAATAAGAAGGGAAGTCATATGCAAGGTAAACTGCATTGTATATTGAGTTAAATCTGCCCAGCTGGACTTCACCACTGGATTCTAGCTCTGAGAGATGGATAGTCATGGGTAAATCAACTCATATCTCTTGTTGCATTCTGGCAAACACCTTGGTTTTGGAGTAGGAAATCTTCAAGTTGCCTCCAGTTTTGAAATTGTATGGTCTTTGTGTGGTTTACAATAGCAGAGAGAATCAGGAGTTCAGTTTTTTAAAAATATTAAGTTCTAAAATCAGAACCATCTCTATTATTTCAGTGTGAAATGGTTCATCATATAAATGGAAACATTGGTCCTACAAAGTAAGCACAAAATTAGGAATTCATAGTATTTAAAAATAGGAACCTGAAATTCAGATTATTATAATCAAGCATACTACATCAAAACCAGTGTTCTTGCCGGG